GGGCACTTGGGTTGTTTCCACATTCTTGCAATAGTGAATTGTGCTGCCATAAACATTCGGGTGCAGAAAAGACATTTCTTTATATAAGGATTAGGGAACTTTAGTACTACTACCCACAGAAAGAACTGTTAAAGGTTATAGTTAATAAAATGAAAAATGAATTCACAAAGAAGTGAGCTGCAAAAACAAGAAGGAAAATAAAAAGAATAGTTTGTTAAACTCCATAAAATGAGCTTTTAAAGTTTTAAAGACAATGGTGTTTATTTCTTTCCACTTTCTCTCCTCTTGGATTTATGATCTCAGTTCTTTTAACATTTTCTTTTTCTCTCAAAATAACTGCTAGCTTATACTTTCCCTTTTTCTCAATACTTGCTTCCTATTAGGCAACTGGGGTAGGTGACAGCCAGACTCTATGTTCTTCTGCCCTATGCTCTGTGTTTGGGTCATGCCTCAACCTCCTTCCCAGGGAAGAACAATATCTATATAGTAGTTTTAGTAAGTTTCTATGACATTAGATCAATTTTGGAGACTTCCGGGGAAAAAAGCTTCTATAAGGCTATTTGTCAGGCTACCTGGCAGGTTAAAAAAAAAAAAAAAGCTCTCCAGACTAGCTACTTTATCAGAAACATTGCTCTCATTTACCAGAGCCCCTCCCATTACCACACTCTTGTAATCCAGTTTAAGTAGAAGAAGCAAATGAACACAAAAACAGTTAAGTCTCACCTAGGAATTTATTCCAATAAAAAATAACTTTTAAGTTGGTCATATGCCAAATCAATCTTTCACATCTTGAGGCATATACTACCAGCACCAACACCCAGACAGATAAACCTGTGATATGGCATGGTCTTTTGCTATCTGAAAAAGAATCTCCTGTGTTCATTAGAGTATATTTACTGATGCAAGAAAGGACACATTATAAAGGTGGTAACAAAAAGGGTTTGGGGGCTTTTTTTTTTTTTGAGACAGAGTCTCACTCTGTTGCCCTGGCTAGATTGCTGTGGC